CTCTTGCTATTCATATGAGAAGTATTTTTCATATTAATGTTTCTGCCATTTTTGAACAGATAATTAACTTTTAAATGCTGATTTTCACTCTATTTCATCTCAGTTTTGTTATACTGATTAGAGTAATTTTAATATATTTACATTAGTCAATGTCATTTCCACTATATTTTCATTAGAACTTTTTGCTGGGATGATTAATAACTATCACATTGTTGTCCAGCATCTTCAAACCTTAGGGTAACCCAAACCCATAGGTAGGTGATTAAATTAAAGTCCTTGATTTTCAGAAATTCTGAAAATGTACAACTTCCACTGAAACAAAAATACAACAGTAAAGTCAGTAATAGCTGCAAAGCCTCAGCATCTCGGAAAAACAAAAGATGTCTAAATAAGGATTTGGTCTTCTAAGTTTGTAAAGTTTGGATCTGGTATTACTGAGATGAAAAGGGCATGTTGGCCATATCTATACTAGGAAACTATTTTGAAATTAGTAAATTCAACTTAACAAATCCTGATTGAACAAACTCGAACTAGCATGTCCACGCTATGGGGAAGCCTCGAAATTAGTTTGAGGCAGATTTCCTTAATGTGGACATGCTACCTCAACATAGAGCTCCAGAAAGCACTGGGGAGTAATTAATTTGAGTTATTCTGGGGAGTAATTATATCAAAATAGCATCACAGGAGCACCCACACTACTATTATTTTGAAATAATTATTTCAGAATTAGCATTACTCCTGAGGAAAAGCAGGAATAGATTTCAAATTTGTGGCCCATTATCATATAGGGTATGTCTACGCTACCCCGCTAGTTCGAACTAGCGGGGTAGCGTAGACATACCCTGTGAGTTGGTGTGGAAGTAAGCTGGAAACTCAGGGGGGGACCCGCCATTTTTAAAACCCCGCTGGTTCGAACCCCGTGCAGCACGGCTACCCGGGGCACGAAGTAGGTAGTTCGAACTAGGCTTCCTACTCCTGGCTGTGCCCCTGAAATGAAGCTGTCACTCCTCGTGAAATGAGGAGTAACTGTAGTTTGAACTAGGAAGCCTCGTTCGAACTACCTAGTTCGTGCCCCGTGTAGCCGCGCTGCACGGGGTTTGAACCAGCGGGGTTTTAAAAATGGCGGCTCCCCGCTTATGCAAATGAAGCCCGGGAAATTCAAATCCCGGGCTTCATTTGCAAGTGCGGTATGCCTACATTACCCCGCTA